ATGTGAAAATATATGAAAAAAAAAAAATCCAGGATGTGACAACTATTGTTCTACCTCGCATATCCTATTGTTGCTTTATAACTCTTCTTGCTTTCAGATTCTAATATTGTATCGAAGATGAAGATACACGACTCCTCCATACTAATCTCCCAACACGTCGAACGTTACTTTCCCTCACCAATCGCTCTCACACTTACATGCTAAGTTTTTTATCTACTCTAATGAAAATAACATAAGCGAAAAATACTATTGTTGATTATATGTAAAATTTAAAAGTTATTATAGATGATTTGGCTTTAATAGGTTATCCCCTAAGTGATGAAAAAATCATTATTCATATTCTTGATAGTCTAAGAGACGAATATAAGGAACTGATAGCAATAATTCGGATACATAACTCACTAATATCATTTAAAAATTTGTATGATAAGCTAATTGATCATGAAGTATATCTGAAACAAGAAGAGAGAAAGACAGGACCAACTATCATAACTCAATTTAATAAAAAATCTAAAAGATAATACAATCAAAGCAACAAAAACTTTAATAAAGGACTAAACAAGATGTCTCTTGAACACATGGTTAATACATAGAAATGTAACTCAACTCTCTAACCATGGTAGTAACTTTAACCCAAATAACTATAACTATAACTATCAATATTTTTGGCATCCCAATAATAATAATTAGCAAAAAGTCATCTATCAACTCTACGATAAAATTGGACACATAACAAAAGTCTGTCGATCTCGACCCAAGCCTACTGCTATACCCAACTAACCTCAAGTAAACATTATGATTATTCCGACTGCTTATCCAAATAATTAGAATGTTGACTTCAGTACTTTTCATCGTATCACTTCTAATTTGGAGAATTTATCTGTCCATACCAACTATAGAGGCAATGAAGACATTATCACTGGAGATGATAATGAAATCCCTATCACTCAATTTCACAATGCTTAATTCACACATAAATACTATTATACTCTATGATATTTTGTGTGCACATCATATAAAAAAAACTTTATTTTCGTCTCTCAATTTTAAAATAATATCTCTATTAAGTTATTTCCTGACTCGTTTCTTGTAAAGAATCTTAACACGAAGGCATTCTTGGTCCAAGACCAGAATAAAGATAACATATGCGAGTAGTCACAAAACACCCATCTAATCATTCTTGTTTCAGTTGCTACTCTAATCGATGTGTGGAATAGTCGCCTTAGTCACCTGTCATTCTCCATTCAACTATGACTAATTTCTCATTACTCTCTTTCAATTTTCAAATTAAGTTAAATTATAACTCATTGTAATGGTTATTTTAATAATAAAGTCACGATTATTTGTTGGAACATTTTCCATATCCTACTCAAATCTACTCCTATAATATAATATGATATTATTGGTGCCACCTACTTACGTGTCAACCCAGTGTTCCACTCACATAAAATAATATGATATTGTTGACACCCAGTGTTCCACTCACATAAAATACATTGACATTAACTTTTACTTTGTTAAATATCAAATTATGTCAATTACGTATTTCTCACGTCCGTATTCTAACGAACTAGTAAACTCACTCATAAAATCTTCCGCTCGCAGAATATTTTAATTACATTGGTCCAAGATTAACATCTTCGATGCAAACGGAGGCATGATAGAAAATCATGATATAGGTAAATATGGAATAATAATATTTTATTTCCTATATGTTCTAATCCTTAATTAATCTATAATTTAAGTTCAGAATTTTTTTTTAATAATTTATATAAATATACAATATCTTTCTTTTCATAATAAATTTTTCAATATAAACATATTTTACCTTTGTCAAGACGGACTCAGCACCGGTGTTTGGTCAGTCAGTAACGAGATCGTGTTTTAATAATGGTTAAGAAAAGAGGAAATAGACATCTAATGTGATCTCACTAACATAAATGATTGAGGTAAGATTGGCTCAAGTGTTTTTTGCTTCGTGAATGTTTTGTGATGGAAATTAGGTATATTTTGAAGTATAAACTCCATTGTGTACTCCCTAAAAATAATTTTGAGCTAGGGTTCATCTAAATTCTTTTATCTATTATTTTCCTTGTACAAGAGAGGATGGATAAATTTTACAAGTCTTTCGACATGTAGATATGAAATTTATATTTTTCCTAATCTTCCTGCTTAGGGATAAAATCTTCAAGGGAGATTCCACTTTGTGAAACTCTCACAGCTGCTCAAGTTCAGTCTTATCAAGCCAGCACAAATATATACTATTTACACTACCAAACTATGAAAATGGTACCACTAAAACGAAAAAGAACATCATCTATTCTGTTTCTAGAAACCACTGCTGGAAGAAACAATTCAAATGCATGGAGAATTCATCGATGATAAGACTGATGACAAGATCAAGTTGCATAAGAAGTCTATGCGAGTGGCAAATACATGTAAGTTTAATGACAGACCTTTAGAGATTCATTGTCAAAGAAGAGAGACGCCATTACAAAGTGAAGGACTGCACATTTTACTGTATGCCTGACTTCTTTATTGGAGAACTGCATGCTTGATTTTATAGCCATTAACATGTGCATTAACAGTTTCTAAAGGAGAGGGAGGTCCCTCTCGTAGTTGAAGACCAAAGGCAGGAGATTCCTTGTACATGCAGATGACTTGGTGGAACAGATACTCGCCATTGAAATTGGAAATCAAACAGAATTATGGATAAGAACTTCTCAGAAAAGTCTCCATCTTCAGCAGGCAAGAGAACATGAGGATTCGTGAGACAAATGTTATCCTTCAATCCCACAAATTGTACGAGGAATAAGATTCAGCACAAAAAGCGTACACAGGAAGCGGAGCACCACCATATAGCCTTGTCATATGTAGTACTGTGTACTGTCACCGTAGATTAGATATTTGATATATAAAAGAACAATTAGCTCAAATTCGCCTTTTTCCTGTGTATTTTTACAGGGAGAGAGAAATTTGTTCCAGCATCCAGAAGTTTAGCCACTGGATGTCGCTTGTAGATAGCTCAATACATGTTGCTGTCCGGTTAAGCACTCCACCAATCCTTAAAATTGCCAAAGAGAAATTTTTGTTTAAAATACGGTCTAAATAAGTTATAAATAGCATGTGCTCCACATGAAATACCATTTATTCAAACCAAGGAATAAAGTCTACACTTAAATATACACCAATTAGAAATATGCTGAACCTGTCAATAACTCTAGTAGTAATTGTGCATGTTCCAACTAAACCTTAAAAAATAGAATTGATTTAATATTTAATTTACAAATGGTTGCAGTTTCTTTGGAATACTGGAGAACTTTTCCTAGTTTTCAAAGAGAAATCTAGAACTAATCACCATGACTGAAGTATTGAAGGATTCATCTGTAAGCCTATATGTTGCATCCTTTTTAATGTGGAACTTATGTGCATTTTGGAGTTAGTAATTGAAGGAAAGTAATATGTTACCATTTGTGAAATGGCGGCAGTCATGTTTTCCAACAGTCAGATGAGTTGACCAGTCTTCACTGAATTTGTTGGCCACCTCAACACCATCGTCATCAGAAAATCCAATAAACCAGCACCGACTTTTAGGTATCCTCTGCAGCTTTCTTTTTAGAACAACTCCTAACGAAGAGGTCAAAAGGCAAAGGCATATTGTTGAGAACCAAGAACATTTTATTTTTGTAAAATCAGTTTTATGGATGGTCAGGAGAAATCAACCACTCATAAAATGAGCACAATGAAGCAACTCTAGAAACTTGAAGAGTCGAGAGAAACTCAACTCCCAAGTAGCAAATTTATGACACCTATATTTGATGCTATGGCTGCTTAATTGTGGCATCAACTTCTGTAGTCCACAAAAAGAAGAGAAATGGACAATAATAGCAAGGTAAAGCTAGATTTTCTGGAAGCCACTTGCTTTGCATACACACACAAATGCCAAAATAGAAATCTAATGATAACATGTAGGCACTACAATGACTTTACAAAAAACAGTTATTGGATTATTACAATCTTGAATGGAAAAGAATGAATCCATGCAAGAAAGGATGTTACATCCATAACATAACAAGGGATAGACCTACCAGGTATCTGTCTTTGAGATATGACAGAAAGTAATGCATAGAAGTTCTCAGGATCTTGAGGCTGAAAATCAAAGACGACCACCTGCAAGACAAATGAAATATGCATATCCTTTGTTAGAGGATACATGTGTCTAAAACTCCATGAATATAACTCTACACGTAGTGTGCCAGGCAATTTGTTATTTCATGGCCCACATTAGGAAGTATAGAAAGCTTTTGCAACCTCCTAAATGAAGAGAAGTTTCGAAAGAAATTTTCAGTCCTACCCTAGTATCTTATTTTAGTTGTCAAGAAGTATAAAGACAACATGGGCATGTAAACATAAAAACTATAATTATATTACTGTTATACGAAAAACTTTAATATCAAAAATTGAAATCAAATAACTATATATTAGATTTACGATGTGTACCTTTTCGATGTTGCTCAGAAAACTTTTATCTGATCTGTAGGTGCACCGTCGTCAGATCCAAAAATTGCAGTGATGTCGATTTACAAGAAAAGCTAGTTTTAACGTCTCCTCTGTTCTTATTCTTTATAGGACTGCTATGAGCGATGGATTATGGACAAAGGGGAGATGAGAGGAAATCTATAATCTCTCAATAACTGGTTTATGTAACTAAGGAGAGATGAGATAATATCTAAATAACGTCACGTATCTATATATCCACATCGAGTCCCTAGAAGATCCTTTCTGTTTATAGGCAAGAGTAGAGGATCTATGATAAGCAATTAAAAGATCTCCTCCATCAAGGTCATCTCCTAAGGAATCATACCATAATTTGATTTTTTTTCTATTGACCGATAAACGTAATCAGATTCTATTCATATTTATAATATATCTTACTTAACTAGATAAGGCTACATAATCCAACAGGGCAATGATAAAATGGCATACATAACCATAATAATCAATATATGGCTAGGAAAATCCAGAAAAACAAACATTAATAATAGTGCTTCAACCACCAATCATTTATAAATTTATATTAAGAGGTAATTTGCTGTTGTAAGTGTTTTATGGCTTCATTAATGTGAATTGCACATAATCTCCTCTTCTAAGTTGAAGAGCGGATGCCTCTCGAAAAACCTACCATCATGATAATGATCGGTATGAGTTAGTATGGGCAATACATACCAGTTTAATGAAATATCAGGAGCTGGACTACATATTGCTGATGGTATTCCTTGTATTAAAGTGGATCTTGGTGTAGTAGCCAACACAGATCAATATGGAAATTTGGTGTCGGTGGATATTGATCACTAAAGGTTGGTACAGGTCTATAAATTGCTTGAACTTAGCAAGTCCTAATTCTAGCTCGTCACTCAAATGGGACTTCTGATCTAATACATGTTTCATCCAACATCTAGTTTACCATGAGAATATGAGTAGAGGCCAGTATCAGGAATGTGTTAATAAATTAAAATGTTGACATTTGTGCTTATTGACCTCCTAGCTCCCACTTTATTCAAAGTGGCTTTAGGCTTATAGGTTGGGGTTTCATTGCTTATAATACTTAAAACATATTGTACTTGAAACAAATTAAGATATATATTGTAAGCATTTGGTTAACTCATTAAGTTATAATATATATATATATATATATATATATATATATATATATATATATATATATATATATATATATATATATATATATATAAAATATGAAATGTTACTATGTTCCTATATGATACATATGAGCATGGTATTTGTTATAGTGATAGCTTGTACTACCAAGTTATACCAAATAGGATTAGGTTCTACATTAATTTTTGACATTCTGCAATTGTTATAGGAAATTTTCCACTTGCAGCTATCATTGAGCTCTATTCATATCCAATACCTGATGCTATATATTTAAAAGCAATGAAGAACTCCCAAATTAACAAAACAGACATGTGGTTACTTGACGAGTTTTCTAAACAAAACAACAAATTGATGTTTCCCATCATTTTCTTTTTCTTTTGATTTCAAGAGTGTTCCTGTCCAAGAATTGCCATCGATGTGTTTGATTTACTGTCAAGAACTTATTAATCCAGCAAATAACCCATACATGAGCGCGGAGTTTATTGGGCTCTGTTCCTATGAGTTTGTAACGAATATTGACTCTGACATAGGCATCTGTTCATTGTCCGCAGACATATTTCTCCAACTGCCATAGCCTAGAGGCAAGCTTACGCCAATATCCAATAGGTCTCAGCCTTACATAATACTTGTCATTTACGACAACCCTCAAGCAACTACAAGGCAGAGCAAAAGCACCAAGAAGCAACAAGCTATCGAAGTAAAATTAGGGAAGACCAGCAGAATCAAATCAGAGAAGTAACGGGAACGAAGAGTTTATTCCGAAAGATGAGCATGGTATCGAATGAATAAGAGATGGAATCATGAATCAGAGCAAAAGGGAGAGACCTGCGACTGAGACGGATCTGGTCTGACGACGACCATGAAGTGCTGCAGGTCCCAAACCCCCAGCGAGTACGCCGCAGACATGAGCATCTGGGCAGGGCCTTTGGCGGCCCTCAGAGGCACAGCAGCCACGTACACTGCAGCTCGCCCTCTCCCCTGTTCCTTCGGAGAAGGAAACGATGCAGTGGGCAATCTCGCCGACGCAAAGAAGCTCGCGGAAGCCATTTCACCCACGGGATTCATCGCATGTTATCGGAAGAGGGACTTATTGTGTGGGAAGTGGCGAAGGACACGAGAGTCAATTGCCGCAGTGAAATGACACTCAGCTTCCCGAATAGCAGCACCGAATCACCAGTGGAAAATCTCAGGGGTGACGTGGACTCCCCATTTAGTACGAGCTCAAATCCATACGGTATGTAATATTTGGTTTATTAATTAATTTTCGATTTTCACAATATATATATATGAGTGATTTTAGGTACCTCATCTTTTTTTCTCAAATAGTTCCTATAATTTAAAAAATATTTAAATTATCCATTAAAATTGTTTTCATCTGTGATAATATTTTTGTCCACCACAACAAAGATACTATAATATCTACTCAAAAACATTATAAATAAATTAAATAAAATTAAAATATATTACAAATTATTTCATATATCATATTATGATTCAAATAGGTATTTGTAATAGTTTAGGAATAATTTCCCCCAAACAGAAATAAAAAAACTAACTTATTACAATGTTTTGACAATCATAATAAGAATACTATAAAACTTATTAAAAATATTATAAGTGATTCAAATGAATTCCCAACCTTAGTCAAACCAACTACAAGCCTAAAAATATGATATCTTAATTATCCACAAAATTATAACAACTAAGGAGACACAATATGATCACTTATATTTTTAAAATAATATTTATAGTATTTTCAGTACCTCAATAAAAAATAAAAATACTATAATAGTTTAATATTGGTAAAAAAAACAGATGAAAAACTTTGTTGAGAAATTTTTTGTAAGAATATTTTAAGTATTTTTTGAAAAAAAAAGTAAAAAAGGGTACTGGGCTAAAATATAATTATTTTCTTGAAAAATCACCCGAAATATGAGTATTTTGTAGTGAAATCGCACACCCAAAATTGCTCTACAAGGGTTGTTCACACAGTTGGCAGCCGATCCGTTGCTTGCTACCACTGCATGGAGAATTGCTTCATAAAATATTATGCTTGGCTTCGGATTCTCACCATTGATTTCATTCTCTCAACAGAGATAAGTATGATATTAATTCAATTGTAGCTTCCATCTCCCATATAGAGAGCCACTTCATCCCCAATATCAGAAACAATGCTCGCCCACCCAAGCTTAAGCACTGCCGAGCTATGTTTAACTTCACATGCTAAAAGCTTCTTACCCTCTTTGCTGAAGAGGAACATGTCCAGCAGGAAGCCCAGTGAGTCTCCATTACTGCCTGCAAGTGCAGCCAAGTCGTCATCGGACGTGGGAGGGTTCGATCCCCGCAACATCGAAAGAGCCATAAAGCTACATTCAGCTATTACCAACAGAGGCTCCAAGAAATTCACGGAACTGATCGGTGATGAATGTCGATATTGTTTCGGTAGTCTTCCTCTCCATCCTTTGGCGCTATGTGAGGTAGAAACTTGACCGAACTCAGCGTTACCATGATATGTTATATTTCATGAGGAAAACCTGTTGGATCATTGTAGAAAGCTCTTCAAATGCTGCACTCTTTCATGGTGCGGAACAGCATCATGTTGGTGATGAAGCCGACGGCGGGCTATGGAGTTGACATTGGCTTTAGATGGTTCTCAAGTATGCTTGCTCAAAACCTAAGTCCTGCGACACAAACCTTACTGATTCATAATTCTGAGAGATTTGACGTGCGAGTGAATCCTGGGCTTTCAGATCTTGCGAAGGACAACTTACCCTTGAGCTTTGGTTGCACCATCTCTGCAGTTCAAGTGTACACGGGCATATTACTTCTAAGGTACTGATAGATGGATTAATGTCATTTGCTTAAGCATTGCTGTATCCAACCTGTTTATGAGTTCTGAACTTGTTGCAGGAATGCTAAAAGCATCATCGACAACTCATTGGCCCAAATGCAACTTCCGCAGGTAAGTTCTACAACACATTAATCCTTTCTAATATCGAGGAAGAATCATCATTCGATGGTAGCTCACATTCTTCAATGTACCAGAAGTTGGAGGTAACTCTTCTGCACATCATTGACAAGCTTGTACCCAAGACTGTTCCTGAAGGGAAGGAAAGAGCAGTCCTACTGTATTCCTTGCTTAGTCTACTGACCATGGTCATTTCTGTCTTCATCTTAAATAACACAATGGTGTAACATGTCACTTACTACGTATATACTGAAAGAACACAATGGTGTACGCAAGTTACTATTTCATGAATGCAACAAAACAAGCTCGGTGAGGTTGGTACATAGCTTCTTTATCTATGTGGGATGATGACTAATCATAGCAGGAAACACGTCCATGATCATTGTTTCACTCGGTTTTACCAAACAAGTCTCAAACTTAAGTTTGTGGGGAGTAGGAAAAGGCTTCGACGGCTTATTTGGTGGCTTATGCCAATCAAAGGTCCCCCTGTCCATCGTCCATCAATCTTTAGAGTCGGTCACTTGCTCATCAAGAACAAGCTTAATTTCCGATACATCGTAATTCAATTCTTGATGATGAAGATGTCAACATGCGCGGTTTGCTCCCATTGTTGTCTCGGACGAGGAAACTGCGTTGATTTGTTGATGTGGATGTGTTACACTAAGAAACATATATCAAACAGGTAGTATTCGCCATAATAACCAGCAGATATGTGGAGATGAAATTGGAAGGCCACAGATTAGGTAGTGAGTAGCCGGCTCACATGCGCGACATTTAATTAGTCATGGTAGGTGCTTTGCTGGCCATTTTAGGCTTTGCATTGGTATCATATAACATATGAGATTATATTATAAGAAGGGTTGGTTTCATAATGACAAATCCTCTTCGATCATTGAACACATTTTGTAATGATGATGAAACACGGTATGAATAGATGTTTGGTGTGGAAATTGGATGATCATCTTGCTTAATTAATGAGTGCATTTGAAGAATCAACGTATGAGATGATTAGACGTGAAATGTCACTCGAAGTTGTAATTTTACATGCAATAAAACAAAAAAAAAACATTAACGTGTTTTAAATCCACGTCAAATCTCTGGAAATGTAATCGGATCCGGATCCGGGTCTCAGCTCCAGATCCGAACCTGGGCAAAATCTCGCGAGATTATCGCGGCGAACGCCGCGCAAGCCGAGATGTTCTCCCGACCGACAAATAGTAGTCCACGCTCTCGCTTAACGTGCCTCGCTGGAACACGTTTACGCGAGGGGACCGACCCGATGGTGACCATCTTCCGCACAACCCTGACCGTGGAACACAATTAAAAACGGAAGACTTATCGTGATGCCAAGGACAAAATCTGCTGCGCCGACCAAACCTGTCGATCCTTGCTGCAGAGTAAAAGTAATGCCAATGCCGATTACGATCGTTTAGGTCAAAGGCATCCGTCGGGAATACCTCTCAAGGTGTACGTACTTATTTGGTCCACGGACGTGATACCACATGATCAGCTGCAAGATCCATAGCCGCTTCCACATTTAATTTACCATTCGAAAGCATTTCTAATTCAAAATCACATATAAAAAAGTTTATGATCATCGTTATACCCATCCCACCGTCCATGAGACCAAATGTTCTCTCACGATATGACAAACTTCCAAGAAGTAGCAGTGAGAACTATGATGCATCTCATGATAAATTTGGTGTCAGGACTTGGGGTAGAGTGCAAGGTGGACATTGTTTGAGGAAGAGGAAAAGGGGTATTAGTTGGAAGGTCAGTCTGGAAATCCTACCTGACATGGGTTGTCAAGTTTCCAAGGTGTAGCATCTCTCTCTCTCTCCTGTTGGTCTTTCATATCGCCTCCACCTTAGGCCCCTTCTGGTACAGTTACCTACTCACCTCACCACCTGCCACCCTTGGTTTCACTCCACTCCACTTTATATTAGACTGCCCTCACAGCCCCACCTCCATTGAGCTGGTGCTTCTCCTGGTCACCTTGCAGTTCCTCTGGTTTGGTCAGTTCTTCAAACCATCCTCCTCGCTGCATTTAGTTTCCTCATTATGGTTTTATATGTACCTGTTGTAAATATATGTGGCATTATTCTTTGGCAAAGGTGATCTCCACTTGTAGTGTGTTCTTTGAGATTCTTCCTGCCTTCTGTTGTGTTAGATCTTCTGTAGGGATTCCCTTGCTTCAGGTTACTAGAATTTCTTGATTCTCACTTGCAATATGTTTTATTGTCAAAACTCTTTTGGTCAATGGATTTGTCCCCTCTTTTATTTTTTTTGGATGAAGTAAATCTAGGGTTGGAGCCTTTTAGATCTTGTTTGGGATCAATGTTGTCCCTCATTTTCCTGGTTTTCCTACCATGGGATTGGTAATGATGTAATAGTTTCGTATGAAGATTATGGTTTTAGATCCTGTTTCTTTCTTTGGTAAATCACCTCTAGATCTTTGTGTCTAATTGTCCATGATTTCCTTCTGATATGATTTCTCGTTAAATGGCTATAGATCTTTGTACCTACTAGTCCGTTTGCTTCTCCTAACATTATTATTATTATTATTATTTGGTTAAAGATTGAACACAGTAGAAGAGATTGATGTTGCTTTCATGTACTTGGGGTTTAGGAAACAGACAGATGCATGTTTGTGCTTTCTCATTCAATTTGATGAAGCAGTCCATTCATATTAAGACATCAACATGCATCACATTCGTTCACCTTGTGGGTTTATTTTTCTTCTCTGACTCCATATGTCATCTTGATATGCTCCCCCCTTGGGATGTGAATGATCTACAAAAATTGTGGTTCATTCCCTGCCGTTGATTTCCCAATTCGATGACTATTTTTCTGGATCTAAATTCCGAAAGGTTCAATCTTCGATGTGTTCCTCGAGCTTAACAATTTTCCACTGCAGAGACAGCTCTAGCAGTGTAGCCTTCTTGTCTGATGGTTATTTGATGATTCTCTATTGCATGGAACAAAATTCTTTCTGCTTGGTTAATATTTCAGACAAGAAATCCAAATGACAACTTTATTTTCATAAGAGATATTATTCAGTGATTTCGTATCAAACAATCAAAATGGGTTTTGTATGCATATGTTTGTTGATTCTGATCAGATTTCTTGCAGGGACTTGCAAAGTGATACTACAGGAAGAGGAGAGGATTTGGATAAATGGGGCTTACAGCAATCTTTTGTGCAAGCACTCTACTAGCTCTGTTGATCTCTTCTTCTACGACTGCACAATCTCCTCCAGCCCCATTTCTACCTCCATCTCCGGCACCTGCGCCTGCTCCTGCTCCTGCACCACATCTTGTGAACCTCACTGACCTACTTTCAGTTGCTGGCCCTTTTAGCACTTTCCTCAACTACCTACTGCAAACCAAAGTCATCGATACATTTCAGAACCAGGTTAACAGCAGCAAACAAGGTATCACCATCTTTGTGCCAAAAGATTCAGCTTTTGCAGCCCTCGAGAAGTCTGACCTCGGCAATCTTACCCAAAACCAACTGAGGACCCTGATGCTCTACCATGCCTTCCCTAAGTTCTACTCACTGTCTCAATTCAAGAACCTGAGCAATTCGAACCCGGTCAGTACATTCGCTGGTGGGCAGTATGCATTGAATGTCACCGACACGTCTGGGCTCATTCGTGTTGTTTCAAACTGGGCAACCTCGAAGATATCTAGCAGCGTCTGGTCAACAGCTCCAGTGGCACTTTATCAGATCGATAAGGTTTTGCTTCCATTAGCAATCTTCAGCACTGATCCGCCTCTAGCACCAGCTCCGGCACCGGCTCCAGAAACCAAGAAACCATCAGATCTGTCTCCAACCCAAAGCGGAATCGCTTCTGCTCCCAAATCTTCCGAGTCATCAACCACTAATGGTTCTTCATTCGGCACCAGCATCTGCCTCTTCAACTACTTGGTTCTGGTTCTCTCTGGAGTTCTGATGCTTATTATGTGAGGGGCTCTGCTCTCTGGAGAATCCTTCGAAGCACAGAATGCAGCACATTCACTGCCTTGGCTTTCTTTTGGTTCAATTCTGGTCATTCTTCATGGTGGAGTAGATGCGATGTTTGAATGGAATTTGCTACATGTGTTGTGCTATAGCTACTATCTGTCGATATAGTTCTTTCATTTAGTGATATGGAGGACATTGGGATGTTTTACTTCATTCTATGAGATAATATGCTTTAAACTTTGCCTGAAATAAGAGATGATGATGATGATGATGATGATGATGATGGCATGCTGAACAAGTTCCATGCCTTTTAAAGTTTGTCTGCCTTGCAGTCAGAGGATGTTATGGCACAAAATGTTATTAGTGTCAATCTTACTGTTGAGAGAAAGTTGAGATGTGCTATGGTGACCTTTTTTCTTTTTTTTAATTTGGTGAATAATCAAAGCTTATGCAACACATTGAATTGCTTGTCATCATAGTGCTACCTTGAATTTGAGTAGCCATCAAGGACACACACCATGGTTCCAAAATGGGAACAATAGGTGGTGTTTATTTGGAAGCAAGAGCATGTGAAACAAGAAAGAATGGAAGATTTTAGCCAGTCTTTGGACAGAGGACATGAATGATCCATGTGAAGTAGCTTTCTATTGTCAAGCCATCTAGCCATGTGAAATGTTGTTCATTTGGTCATCTTCCCACATGCAAAGTGATCCTTTAGAACAGAACTTTGGGGCAACTGATGTATTAAATTCTTATCTTTTTTTCTATTTTCTGACTTTTCTTAATTGCTGTTACTTTGCCTCTTGTTTTAAAGATAAAAGTAATTTACCATTGTTATTCTTTTATCATCGTATTGGGTTTGAGTCAAACTAATTAGAATTAATATACATTAGATTGGACACCGATACAACTCCACAGATTAAGCCTATTAATTTGTGGATCAATCAAAATATGCCATTCTTTCGATACTTAGTAACATGAGACTCTCTCTTTAGTCCCCTCAATGCTTCCTATGTTATATATCATGAAAAGAAAAATCAAGAACAACATGGTTCTTGAAAGGAATCATTAATTAGTTGACATCTTGTGTCATCTCTGGATAATTAGTGCAAAGAGATATTAGACTATGCAACTATAGAGCTGGAAAGGGAGTGCAGTTGAAGGAGAAATAATGTGATAAAAGCTGGACAGCAAGTGGCCAATTGGAACAACATAGGCATGTCTTTTTCTGCAGATACTTGTGTTTATCTCTCCATTATAGAGGGATATGTTGCAGCCAAAGATTTGTTCTTGATCTTCCACAGAGGAGCTGCTCAGAAATATTAATCTGAGATGTTACTGTTCTTATTTCTTTTTTGTTTGTGCAGCTTCCACTGTAGAGAAGAACATGAAAAGAAATGCTGGAATTAATGATTCTTTCACCAAAACACACATTCTCTCTCTCTCATAATTTCCCTGAGAGATAGAGCTCACTTATAAGAGCCTAAGCAATAGGGAAGAACTCTCGGATCAGCTTCTTGAGGACGACGCTGACGGATGCAAGCGAACGGGGCAGTGGCGGTGGGAGAACATTCTTGGGCCCCACATCCCTTCAAACCGGGCTTGAACCCGACCGCTGTTGTCGGGTTTGGATTCCCCAAATCTCCACCCGCGCTCTTCCACCTTCGAGACCCGTGCTTCGGAAGCAAAGCCAGCGGTCAAATCAATCGCCCATTTGACAATCCATTGGATCTTTGTATCATATATATACATATATATATATGAGTAGATTTTGTCACATGGAACTAATTAATGCATGCATTCTACAAGAAACGGGGGGAAATAATTATCATGCAGGGAAGTAAGTAATGATAGTAAAATGATAATGATGTTTATCAGCTTGGAGGGAGTAGAGGCCGACAAGAAACCGCATGAAGTGGAGAAAGGGGAAAAGGAAGTCAACAAAACGCTCGTCATCTTCTTGGCAACACCCTTCCTCCCTTTTCTTATTCCTCTCTCATATCCTCTTTCTTTAAGACCCCCATCATCTTCTCCTTGGTGTTTCTTTTATCTCCGAGTAGCACCACCACCCACCATCTACTTGCGCATCTTCCTTCTTCTTCTTCTTCTCTTTTGGCCCTCTCTCGCTCTCCGTTCTTTGCTGCCCCACGACAGCATGAAGGCTGAGGCGGCGGGTGCTGCTGTATCTTGCAGGAGACTTCCCCTTGCGATACTCTACCGGCTCTTGTTCTTGCTCACGGCATTCCACGAGCCATTTCGGAAACTTTCTTCGGGTCTCAGCCACAGAAGTAGGTCAAAAAACATGGGTTTTAGATGATGAACTCATTGGCGATCGATGGCATACACGGGATAGTCAGGCAATTAATTTTTTCCCCCTTAGCTTCTACTACAGCTTCTTGTCTTTTCTTGTTCTAAAGGATAATCCGATATCTAAAGTCACAATGCCGCCTTTATGAAGAATTAGATGTAGATGGAAGTAAATTCGACTGGTTTCTCTTGTATCTCCTCCCTGTTACTTCAGTTCCTTATGTACTCGTTGAGGTGCAAGTTGGCTTCTATATGTTGATCATTCCGTAACATTTTGAATCACAGACAACTTCATAAGCATGCTGTTTTATTTTCGCCATCAACGCCAAGTGTCACAGGAAACAATGCAACAATTCATGCTCATTCCAATCACTCACAATGCAGCCCTGTTCTTTTAATTTGGGATATGATGAGCACCACGGCACACCCAAAATGCAACGACAAGAATTTATTGGATCTCATTCTCAATACAAACAAGGTTCATTTGCCAACTAGTAATCAAACTAAACAATGATCATCAACCAGGGAGCGTATGTTTTGTATGGCTGTGTTCCTGAGCTGGGGTTTGACTTTGGGAGGCTGGCAAGGGTGGGACTATTCGATGCTTTCAGCAATGGTGTTCGCAGGGTTTGAAAGCGAGAGGCGAGTTTTCTAAGTCTCTGAGAGTGCGGTGGTGTGTGCATTACAACTACGTATGCTGTGTAATTTAATACAGTGTCTGGTGGCGCGTGCGGGGAGCTATTCTTCTGTTCCATATTTCAATCAAAGCCATGCATTGCGCCCGAGAGCGGGTTTGGACTCTTTTGACTGTGTGTGGGGAGCCTTTATAATTGCTCTCTTCATAAAATTTGTGTGTTATTCATTGTATCAAATGCGTTGCAGACATGGAATTTTGGATCCCCGACAGCTTTTATCGGATCGGGTAAATCTTGGACCCGACTCTGCCCAACTCCTCATTTCAGGTGATGCGGCTGTGCACAGCCTGACACCCATTTACTAGCTAGCTGTTGCACGAATCTCAAGGAAGTTAATCCATCGTATATATGGTTCATTCGAGGATCAACGGAACATGATTTTGAGAGAGTGGATTTCGTATTATTGCTGGTGTGCTCCGCCCAACGGATACGCTTATGGGATTAGCAACATCCAAGCAATGAATCCACCAGCTACTGAGGTGGTCAAGCTCATAAATCTAGCACTATTTCAGATCAATAGATATTAATGCATTAGATCAATAATGGCGAGAAAAAAATCCAATGTGCTGTCATCCTTATTCAATATCGAAATTAATGCGTGGTTAAAATAACTTGCAAGTACTTTACTTCTTACCAAGCATGCGACGATCAGAGAGAGGTAAATTACATGGATGGCCCAACGAGTGGGTTCCTTATGGGGCCCCCCAAACACCAATTACAAAACAGGGTTCCTCCGCTAACATGAAGGGGTGTAGAGTTGCTTTTCTCTAATAAGAAACCTGCACAAATTTGTATCTATTTCAAGTTCGCCATGCAAGTAGAGAACAAGCTTTGAGCATATTATATTTTTTTTTACTGCATATAAGCACATGATAAAAAATTTAAGATCCACCAGTCGAGTTGATAGTGAAAATTAGCCATGGATCACACACTGCGATACAAACAATAGCATCAATATAAGCAGCACTGGTTTTCGGGGGGCATAAATGACACCAACACAATCCAAACTAATGAGTTTGAGCTGAAGGATTGGTCAAAAGTTCGAGCGAGCGCTGAAGAAAATCCACCGCAACAGAGACATCATCAAACGCAAGAGCACCGACGGCAAACCTTGCTGCCTTGTGAGCCTCGGCAATTTTCTCCGCAGATGGCTGATAATTGCTGTCATACTTGTACCTCTCAGCAGATGGAGGAGCTTGTACCGCATGATTCTGGTTGACACTGCCAGAAGCGTACTGCACTGATGGTGTGTAATGTGAAACAGGAGCAGGTTGGTGAGAGTAAGCAGAATCATGGGCATGGTAGTAAGAAGGCTGATGCGTAGGGGCAGAAGGAAAGGTGCTATCATGGAAGCTTGGGTAAGACTGAAAATTAGGATAAGAAAAAGAAGGGCTAGGGTTTTCTGGAGAGTGACTATTTGGAGGCATAGGTCCATGCTCATTTGTAAAGGAATGATGCTCATATTGCTGGGAGTAAGCAGAATATTCAGGTGTGCTCGTTGGTTGATGATGGTGAATATCACTAGGATAATCAGGACCGGTATAAGATGATGATGGTGCCATAGGTGATTGACCAAAACCCTGCAAGTTAACCCCATCAGTTTGCTGGGATGATAAGTCAACAGTTTGATAGCTAGCTGCAAAATTCTCATTTCTTCCCAGGTTCTGTAGCACAAGAAAAAAAAAAGGGGGAGATATCAGCAACACCTTTCTGGGCAAACTATGGACAGAAATTAAAAAAATTGACCTTATCTACATGCTGAGGTGATGCACCACCACCTTGCTGGCTAGAGGAGAAACTATTACTTGGTTGAAGATCCTGACAAAGGATAAAACGATGATTCCAGATTTTGCAAACCAATTAGGCAATTTCTTTTGTATAACAAGAATATTTATTAACAGTCTAAAGATGCATCAAGATGTTAGGAGACAAGACGATTCAAACTCCTAACCACCAGCAAATCCTATTCTAAGCATGTTAAAAGGACCTCCAATTTGTTACGTTTGGTTCTTAGAAACAACTAGAAACTTTCAGGACACATCTTGACACCAAGCAACACATAACTTCTCCTATGATTTAGAAACTTTCAGGACACTCCTTGACACCAAGGAACATACGACTTCTCCTATGATTGAGGAAATTTCTCCTATGATTGAGGAAATAATATCATGGCTGAACATGGTAAAAAAAGTAGGAACATGCTGTTCAACTATACCATTAAAGCGTATGCAATATGGATGACTACTCTCACTTTAGCCGACCTCTTTGGTAAAAGTTAACCAAAATTAGAGTTTTAGGGATCTGATCAAATTTGATACAAAGTTCAAGGATTAGTGATTTAATTTATCCTTTTAAATAAATAAATCCAAGACTTGGCAAAACGAAATTTTTGCCATGCTCACTGGACTACGTAATTACTACCAATGTGTTCTAAAAAGCACAAGTAAAAGCTTGTCAATTCTTAATATAAGCACATAGAACCTTCAGAAATCAGAATGCATTTGTGATAAATTATATATTCTGCCAAGCTTACTGGTGTATGTAGTTACAATAACTTTTGTGTTTAAAATCATTTTCCTCTTGGTATGCATTAAAATTTATCAATACTTGATAAAAACATACAGGACTTCAGAGTTCAGAATACTTGATAAAAATGTATAAGACTTAAGAGCACCAAAGAAAGGGAGGAAAAATAATAAGCTATCTTGCTAAACATATGGTTTTAGTTCCAAGAAAAATAAACATGCTGCATTATTTTCTCAATCAATGAGGCAACGCAAGTTAAAATGCATACATAAGTGTTGCTTGAAGGACTTGAGGAAATTGATAGATCTGCATCACCAACAGGAGGACCTGGATCCGGCTGCCGGCCTTCTTTCAAGGCTTTCCTTATATCTGCAGCTTTCCAAACCGCATATTTCTGTTTTTGCTCAATCTGGAAAGTGCATCATGACCAGCATAAGCCAACTTGCTCAAATTGAACCACAGATCAAGGCAACTTTAAGTTACCAGTGACATGAATAACTTACATCAGGCTGCAGCTCACCAAATTGACACAGAATCTCGAAGAAGATGCTGGCAGCATAAAAGGTTTTTGCAGTATTCCTGAAACATGTATATCTCATAAGATTTCCGATATTTATGATACTAAAGAACCTGCTAAATGTCTTAGGAGAATGTATAAATAATTGAAAATATAAGAACAAGTTGTAATACATACAAATCTGCACGCCCAGCACGATCTTGTTTATCTGCCTTTGCAAAAAGATTAGATGCAAAACCTTCCACATAAAGGTAGTCATCAGGCCCTAGTTTTACTGATTTCTTATCCTGTGAGAAGTTGCAGCATCTTGCATCAATAAAAAGATTCTCCATTCAAATTATAATTTCCAGATGAAACTTCTAAATGATGATTCTTAGAAAATGTTATTGTCTTTAGATATTACCAAGCCATCAATGTAAAACTAAAGTCTTAATTGCCAGCTGGAGAGTCACTAGATTAACATGAAACAATTGTGCTTAATAATGGGTGAAAGTTGAATTTAACACATGATACACGATTAAGCTTAGTGGACAAGGAACAGAGACAAGTACAATTTGCAAATATTCAGCTTCCTCAAAATAATTTTAAATTACTTGAGACACAATTAAGTTTAGTTGACACTGTTTAATTACAAATCTTTAATAATTGATCAACACAACCCATTTGCATAAGAGAAAGGCAAATTGCATGCTCAAACAATGAAATACAAAAGTGCATGAAACATTTCTAGATCTGATAGGACGACAAAGGCTGCTATTAGTATTGATGCAATAGGAATAGCAAATTGTCTCACATTATTGAGGTCAGCTATATAAATCTTACCGGCAATTTAGCTCCATTGGGGAAATATCACCACATAATACAAGTGTCACATAGCTTGTTGTATTTCTTCATGATTCTTTGATCTTATTCTATCTTTCCTGATTACTGAAATATGGAACTGATCATATCCCATTGATGCAAGTAACAGTTTTGTAATCTCAACAACAATAATTATGGTTCTCCCTTATTTAACCCTCCATGACCACAAGTTTGACAAATATGAACTTGTATTATTTTGTTTTCTCAAAGAACACGAAGCACCAATCCTAGCATCAACATTCTTGTGTCACTAAGTCTATGGATCTGGTACATTGTAGCTAGCCACAAACTAATTTGTAAAGGTCACATGACTTTCAAAGCTTACCTGTACTTTAAACGTTTTCATCTAGTTTCATAACATTTTTATATTTCCATATAAAAGGAACATAACAGGAAGCAATGATATGGATCTGTAATACATGTATGGCCATTCAGAAAAGCTATAGTGAATATATAAAAGACGGCATATTGGTACCACTGCTGAGTTTTAAACAATAAATCAAAACAACATGAAATGCAGAATAGAAGAAACTTCTAAGAATCGTAGTCCCACCAATCTTCTCATCATATTTCACATTGACAGAAAAGAAAAACCGTGACTTTCATTAAATAGAATTCTATATTCCTTATTGTTGCATGATGGGAAGCAGAAGTGTACATCTAGGAAACATGGCTCAGCGACAACTTGGAAGTCAATCCACTTTCCCTAATATCCTTAGTAATCAAAAAGCCTATCCACAAACATGAATAAACAAGAAGACAGGTTCAGATTAATCTAAACAAAATTTGAATAGCAATAACATCATCCAAGTAAAAAAAATAGAGATGCACCTTAACAAACATGCAATTCAGCTCATATCAATCAACAAATTTTAGGGAAAAAAAATCAACTTTAGAGTGCGGAATTCTTCGCAACCCTAAATCAACAAACGATCACACGCGGAAAAGAAAAAAGATATCGAATTTTACACCACGAGGAGATGAAAAAAAAGATCAATTTAATCAATAAAAAGAAGAAAAGAGTACACCGACCTTTTCGAGTTGGTTCATGAGGGAAAGGAGGAGGGCGTTGGTGGTCTTGGTGCGATCCTTCTGCGGAATCTTAAGCCCTCGCTCCATAGCGTACAATCGACCTGCAACCAACCAATCGAATGAACGATCAAAAAGGGGGCCAAATCTAGGGTTACTAACGGTGAGAAGTATTCCAAAAAGAATCGAATAATATGGAATTGGATGGAGGTACAGTAGTAGGCGACGAGGGGCTCGTGCTTCTGAAGCTCGTCGGCCCTCTGTAGGTAGGGCAGGAGGAGCTTCGCCGGCTCCGCCTCGCTTCCCATATTTGACACTACAGATCCTTGCTGCTAATCTCTTTCTTGGATCTTTTCTCTCTCTCGAACAGACCGCGAACACCCAAATCCCAATGAAAAGGCCTTCTGGAACAAGGAAGGAAGCAATAAGTTGGCCGCCCCCAGAAAATAGAAACCGCAAGTGGCCTTAACAAAGACGTTGATGATAAAGGTTTTGTTATATAATTATGAATAATAAATTTTAGTTTAGAATATAATTATATTTCCATATACCCCTCGAAATCTCCAGAGCATCAATTAACCAATTAAAACTTATCTACATTAGTAATTTTTTGAAACGATGCCATTAATATTAGAGGCTATTGAATATTTAATATTTTCATATCGCATTAATCGTATGATTTGAGATTAATTGGAGTGTTTCATAGCGATAGTTACTAGAGAAACTTATTTCCTAACACCACGGATAGATACATACATTATTAATCTCTTGCACTTAATAATTTTGACAAACAAATGTTAATGTACAAAATGTTATGTTAAATTAGGAGGTGAAAGTATCGTCAACAAGGCCCTCGAGCTTAAGGGTGGAATCGCATAATATTTTATTCACCAGCCTATTTTTCTCTTTTCATTTTAAATATTTTTTCCTCCCACTTCTCGAGATAAACCAAACATAGAGCAGACTATAACATTCCGTATAAAGATAGTAGAATGGGGTATTTGTGAACTGCACAATATTTGACGAGAATGATCCTATTACTCATGTATTTTAAAACACAAACTTCCTTGCTATGTAGCTGTAACTTTTCTTGAAGTGAATGACATACATGTACCTGAGTGATGGATAAATAGAAATCTATAATGTTTTAAGAGTAAATTTTCCCCTCCTATTTTAACCTGGCTTCATATGCCAATGAAGAATATTCTTCTGATGGGCATACCATGACATGCACCACAATTTGATTGAGAGCAGATGACAACTGTGGACTAAGCAGCCAGCTAGGATTGACACTCAGCAAAATAAAGATTGCTCTGTGAATATTCTTGTTGTTCTCCAGAGCATCTTAAGTCAAAGAAAAAGAAAAAAGAACAAAGAATTAACACGACATTGACGAAAACTTTCAAGATAGATCTGTGAATATTCTCCTGCTACAGTGTGTTCTGAGGGTTCATGAAATAATAGATGTTAACGTACAGAACTCATGCTTATCATCCATGAGGATGTATAGTTCTTTCTCTCACTCGAGGAGAAGAATGAGAAAAACAACCATTTATAGTGGAGTATTCATCATAAAGTATGAAGAAGAACTATCAAAGATAGAAACATAATGACCACTAAAATAAACATTTGAATGGCCAGCCCACTAAAACTACTAGTTTCTCTTCCTCTAATAAGTATGATTATACATATTCATCAAAATGTATAACAGGAGAACTATGATAAACAATTGATAATATCTGGACTTTGTTGACCAGCATAGTGAAAGAAACTTGGATCGAACTTGAATAAACTCTTTCAAAGGTGCATATCCCTTTAAACAATTAACACAAATAATCACCCGATTTCATCTAGATGGGTGTATTTGATGCATTGATGAGAATTTCTGTTACATAACGAAATAAAAAAACTTCATATTAACAAACTTAATTAAGTCAACATATACATGTCGGTACTATAAGGAGTTGCAGGACCAGGGACCAAAATAAAATCATTCAATAAGATGGCAACAAACACCATCAAGTAAATTCATATCCAACATAATGTTCAATGTATGGCTTTAATTACCTAATTTGTCTCAAATTTCAATATAAGTTTCCGTAAACAATCATCCAGCTTCTTGATTAGACAAATGCATGATAAAGCTGAGAAAACCTCCCGAATGCCATCAAGCCAAAAGTATTTACACACATGCAAGAGGGCATCAAAATTTATAAGAGCAGTATTCACAAGACTGTCCTCACTCGAGATCAGTGAGTGCAGGTAATGCCTAAATGCTGAGATGAACATGCACCTGGCAAGCTCATGTACTTGTTAAATAGAGATAAGCATACAACTTAACAATTCAGATCACATTTGAATGTTCTTGCAAACAATAAGATGGACCATAATGTATCTTCGTACATGTCTTCCCAACAGGTACTACTGCAAAACTGGATGATCCTCTAAACAATAGGACAGGATGCATTCTGTCATACGGAGAGCTCCACATACTAGATCCCATACTTTTAACACCTAAATTATAAAAAAGAAGACTTAAATAACTAGAATTCCACCTTCTTTGGATTCAAGTTTCAAGTGCAATTAACTATATTTTGATTTTTGATGATTTTTTCATTTCTGTTAAAATCGTAAAATTGTGAACTCGATTTACCTCACCTTATCCTGAAACAATATAGAAAAAAATGTTGAGGGGCAATATTTTTTTTCTAAAGGTCAACTGTAAATTGTTAACAATCATCTCAGCAGACATCACAATAGTTTGAGGAAATTCTTAACAATCATCTCAGCAGACATCACAAAGGGTGCACTATGAATAAATATTATAATGTTAAACCTAACGTTATTCCGATCTGAAACAAAAATATTGCAGAATATTTTTAACTAAATTTAACTTTAGAAAACATCAGCATTAACATTTCCATTCACCAAATCAACTTTAGAAATACTGCACGTAACAAACCCTCCAGCAATAAATCCAGGGAAAACAAAGATTGTAGCTTCAAAGACCATTCCAGCAGACTACCATGAACTGACCCTAAGATCATAATACAAGGGATTTGTCGAACGAATTTAACCATGGAAATATAGTATCACAAAGAGCTCAGCCATACCAGATTTTAGATGTGGTTTGCTATTCTCTTCTGAAAACAACATTGTGTTCCCGTAATTTTTTTGCAGTAATTGTAATCAGTACACAGCATAATATGGTGTTTCATTAAGAACCACGATTTAGTGCTGACAACCATTCAAATTCATCCCAATTTATGAAAGATGTTTGATCACATCAGTGCCAAAACTCGTTATGATGCCTCACCTAAATTGCTGATAGTAGTAATAATCCCATTTTTCACTTTTTAATTTAGTGCAATTTAAGGTGATTTATCCCATTCATTTCAGATTTTTTTTTAAGTGAGATGTTCCCCACAAGAGGAATCACTAACTAAAGATATTCAAAAAGTAAATACATGAATCCTTCGAGCTTTGAATGCTTCGAATCCTATCAATTAGAAGAAAAAAATTCACATATATCAATTAGATATAAATCAAATCATCACTCCTCACGATTTTTGTTTCGTAATATATATATATATATATATATATATCAGAAAAATACATCAATCGAATAAAAAACAAAAGAATCATAAATACTATCACAAGAAAGAAAAAGAAATACCAAAATATAGTCATCAAATGACGCAACCTGCAAGATCAAAGCGCAGCATGCCCGGATGACGACCAAGCTATCATGCATGAGATCAATAGCACTTGATATATGAGAAGGGCCTCTGAGAATGGCTAATACGTACACCATTCCTCTCTTCTCCCCTTCTCATAAATCAAAATACAACCCAAAAAAGCCTCCCTTTTAAACTTCGACGAGAACGATATGGGAAATTCGGTAAGCGGAATGCCTATGGAAAATTTCAAAGCAATCCGACCAGTTTTCTTCCCATTGGTTGCTGTTGCTACAGCCGAATCCGGATCAAGACCAGGACAACAACAAATGAACCCCGATCTCGGTACAATGTAGCATAAAACCAAATAACAATCAAAAGACCTGCTAGAAGGAGAAGAAGAGAAAACAAAAGCCATGAATCGGACTGACGAAAGTCTAGAAATTGGGATGGTAGAGGAGGCGCGCACTTGAAACCCTAGAGAAAAGAACGGGCCGCTACTTTGCGGTGGACCTTGTAGCGGTCGAGAGTCAAAAAAATCGCAAGGCGATTCCAAACTTATAGAACGGGTGGACGCTTTATGTTTCGTGCCGTGCAACACGACCGTCCATCTAAAAGCGGAGTAAAATAACGGGTACGATTGGACGGGTGTCTTAAATAACAAGGTAATTGATATATGGGCGATATCATAGGAAAGAAATCCATAATTTTGGGTTTGTTTCGATCATATCGTCGTTTCTAAAGAGAATCCCTCCCCCCTTGTAAAAATTAAAATACCCAAATAATAATAATAATTTTTATCAAAAATTCTGTTTAAGTTAAACATAATGTTCTTAATTTACAGTATTTTTAATAAATTTATATGTTTCTTAAAAATATTTATCGTTTTAATTATTCAACTCATTCGAAATGAACTTAGGTCTTTCGTATCCATTTGTCCCTAAGTAATTTCAACTGATATCATCCTTGTCTAGCTGCACTTATAAACAACTTAGTGCTCCTGATGATGTAAGAATTCAACTTAGTTTTTAGAGAGAGAGGTTTGTGTTTCAGGATATACTTGAAGAGTCTTGAGATCAAAATAATATTACTTTCATATGGCATATATTAATTATTGAAAAGATAGTATATCTTTTCAAACTTAATTACAAGAATGATATATTAAATTTGAAATATGATAACATTCGATGATTTACAGGTATTGATGATAAAATATCGATCGTGTGATAGGTCACATAATATTAAAATTTCACTCATGTGGTAATAAGAGATTACCCACTGTGAGACATGTTTATTCTTATCTCAAAATTATAATTATTTATTTTATATTATTTATGAAAAATATAATAAGTTGTATTTCTAATGCAAAAATATTGTAGCTTCAAATAATATCTCATTCTTTTTTTATTATTCATTTACAATAATTAATTATAAATATCATAATATTTCTTAGAATGTTCATATTTTATTTTAAGACAAAGAGTAAAAAAATTAAATTTTGTAGCATTTTTTATTTTGAAATATGTTAAGACGTAAGTAATTTCCATCCATAATCATTCAAATTTCATATTAATAATTATATATATCTCATAATCTATAAAAAAAAAAATTGATATTTATGGTTACTATAAATTTGGATTAATTGAAATTTAGTTATAATAGTTTTCATTAGAGTTTCAATACCTTGATTTAATGACGAAAATAATATAAGTTCATTCAAAAATATTTTGAATGAGATTATTTTTTATTATCAACAAGGACATGTCATCCTTTATTTTGAAATATATCAAATATCCTTAGTTTTCATTCAAAATTATTTTAAAACTATTACATAAAATATTTTATGAAACCTTACTATAGGTTAGTAACTAATATTTATAAAACTTTAAATTAATTAAACTAAGTTATAGTATTTTTAATAGTATAATCATGTTTTTTTAGTTTTATAATAAAAATATTATAGTTTTATTAAAAAAATACTATAATCTATTCAATTAAACTAAAAATATTATTTTGAATCGATTTGACTAGTTTGGTCTCGTCAACTTTCAACTCAAAACTTAAAAACCTTGGTTGTGAGAGAAAAATCCAAATTTTATTTTTTTAATTACCCAAGATGATCAATTAAAGTTATTATTTTAACATTATATAACAAAAATAATAAAATCATATATCTCAATTATTTTATGTTGATTATACAAATTTTTTATCATTATTAAACTTATTAAAAAAATTATATATTTAATTAAGTTTGAAATATTTAAATTATTATTTATGGTTTTATTAAATCTTTTTTGGTCGCTTTACCTTTCCCATCAATACCATCGATGCCAATCCCAAGCCTTAATTGACATATAATTATATCAGAATGAAAAATGTTTATTCAACCTAATGTTGCTTCTATGATGATCACTAAAAATTAGAAATATCATATTTTTAGGGAGTCGGATAGTTGATAGAAGATAAGATTTTTCCAACTATATGAGGAAATCTTATCTCTTTACTCTTGAGAAAAATCATCTATTCTATTGAGGAAAATATTCTCTTCTAATCCGTATAAACAGGAGAGGGACATATTAATGTATTCAAGCTAAAGTTAATTCAATAAAATATCTTCATTAATATTCTTTCTATCAATAACTAATTAGATTGTCAGAAAATTCAGATAAGATAAACTGAATATTATATGGGTGGATCAATTCCCTCCTGAACTAACTTTATGCAACTCTCCAAACGCAAACTCACTAAGTTTTTTTGGTAAAAGAAAACAATTTTTTTTCCAACTTTATTCATTAATAAATACTTTCCAAGTTGGATAAAACCCAAACCGAAGAATTCGGCCCACAAAGTTGAATATAACGGTCCACCAAATATAACGTTGATGCGCTACGATCTTATTGCTTGTCGCGCCCCTTCTAGAAGGTTCTAGAACCCGGTTCCCTACATAAAGGCCATCGCCGCCCTCTCGACTGCAAAATCTCAATCGCAGGTTTCAAACCCTAGATCTTGAGATCGCTTGAGAGACGCCCTTCCATGGCGGCCGACGCGGAGACCTTCGCCTTCCAGGCCGAGATCAATCAGCTTCTCAGCCTCATCATCAACACTTTCTACTCCAACAAGGAGATCTTCCTTCGTGAACTCATTAGCAACTCCTCCGATGTTAGCATTCCTTGTACTTTTTGTTTATAGAGTCATTTTTGCCTCTATGATGGGGCTTGATTTTGTTGTTGATCTGGGTTCTTAACAGGCGTTGGACAAGATCCGGTTCGAGAGCCTCACCGATAAGAGTAAGCTCGACGCGCAACCGGAGCTGTTCATCCATATTATCCCCGACAAGGCTACCAATACCTTATCTATCATCGACAGTGGCATCGGCATGACTAAATCCGACCTTGTCAACAATCTTGGTACCATCGCCAGGTCGGGCACCAAAGAGTTCATGGAAGCCCTTGCTGCTGGGGCCGATGTCAGTATGATCGGTCAGTTTGGTGTGGGGTTCTATTCGGCCTACCTCGTGGCGGAGAGGGTTGTTGTGACCACCAAGCACAACGACGATGAACAGTACGTGTGGGAGTCACAGGCCGGGGGTTCATTCACCGTAACCAGGGATGTTTCTGGTGAGAGTCTTGGTAGGGGAACAAAGATTACACTTTTCCTCAAGGAGGATCAGGTATTTGCTATGCATACATCAATTTGCTAAGAAATTTTAAGTTTCTATGATTTGATGACCTGTTTAGATAAGGCATCATGGTTGGGTAGAGATGGAAACTGCTATTGAGTAGAATTGCCGATGAAGCTGCTTTGATGGAAGGATTTCTCTTTTGTTTTTCAAATTACAAAAGATAACCGTGTTTAATTATGTTTGTTGCTCAATGAATTCCTTCTCCGTGTTCTAAGAATGATTTAATTTAACTTGTTTTAAATATTCGTTTACGTATTTACTTGTCCCAAAGGATTATTTCTTCAGAGGTAGTGATGAATAGCTTAAATTTATGCTCACTGATGGGGCTGAAAATTTTATCAATTAAGTAGACTCTTGTTGTGGCTATGTTGATGGATATCATATGCTTATCTGTTGAGTTTGCACCTTCCTTTCCTTTGATGATCTTGATTTGTTGAGATTCTTGTTAGGCATAAGTGGTTGTAATACAAAGCTCTGATGAACCTTGACAATGATTTGGTTGTAATTATCAAGCTAGATTAATATAGAGAGTGAGCATGATAAGTTTGTTCCATGTGAACTGGGTGATTAGGATTTGGTCACTGAAACAACCTTCTTATTGTGTAGGGTTAAGGTTCTATGTCGACCCTTCCTGTATCCTGCATTGTTGGATCCTCCTACAGTTTGCACCCTTCTTTTCTTCTTTCAGATTCATACTTGTATGCCTGCTATAATTTTAGAATTAACCTCTGACATGGAATGCACACTACATTTTTCAAGAAAAAGCCATCTTTCTTGAATACAGAGGCTTAGTTATGTTCTTTTTTGTTCATAACTTGCATTTATTTGTGGTGCAATAATTTAAGTTTGTTACTAATGCTAAAGTAGTTACATAGGAAAATACTTACTAAAGGTCTATCTTGGCATCTCACATCGGACTCCATGTGACCCTTACAAAAGATGGCGAAGGGTCATGTTTACATTAATTAAGCTGTGGAGTGTAACAGTAAAGTGTTGATGATAGCTCTGGCTTTGGTATTATGCTGTATTTGTAGATTGACATCATTATTTTGTGATAGCAATTAGAAGTTTTAATGCTATTTATTTTACATTTTAATTGAATATTACTGATTATTAAATTTTCAAGAACTAACTCACCTATTTTGTGACTGCTTGGTGGTTCAAATTGGTGTAGCCTGCAGTATTTAATGTCGTCAGTATTTTCAACCTATAAAGAAGGTTTCTTGACTTCTTTATTTAAAGTTTCTGATAGTCCTGGTGCCCTCTAGCATAATCATTAATGCTTTTACTCAGGTGTTTTCAGTTTGATGTTTTTTATTTTGTAGAACTGTTTGATTATAAAGAAACAATGCTTAATGGGAAACATGCTCAATCTGGGAATGATATTCCGGCCAATTAAGCATGCCAGACTTCCAGTTATTTTGTACTTTGGTTTGTTCAATTGCAGTTGGAGTATCTTGAGGAGCGCCGCCTCAAGGATCTCATCAAGAAGCATTCTGAGTTCATCAGCTACCCTATTTCCCTTTGGACTGAGAAGACCACTGAGAAGGAAATTTCTGATGATGAGGATGAGGAAGACAAGAAAGACACTGAGGAAGGCAAGGTGGAGGATGTTGATGAAGAAAAGGAAGAGAAAGAGAAGAAGAAGAAGACAATTAAGGAGGTTTCTCATGAGTGGTCTTTGGTCAATAAGCAGAAGCCCATCTGGATGAGGAAGCCTGAGGAGATCACCAAGGAAGAGTATGCGGCTTTCTATAAGAGTCTGACCAACGACTGGGAGGAGCATCTAGCTGTGAAACATTTCTCTGTTGAGGGTCAGCTTGAATTCAAGGCTGTTCTTTTTGTGCCCAAGAGGGCTCCTTTTGACCTCTTTGACACTAGGAAGAAGCTCAACAATATTAAGCTGTATGTCCGTCGTGTCTTCATCATGGACAACTGTGAAGAAATAATTCCAGAATACCTTAGTTTTGTCAAAGGTATTGTCGACTCTGAGGACCTTCCTCTCAACATCTCACGAGAGATGCTCCAGCAGAACAAGATTCTCAAGGTAATCCGCAAGAACCTAGTTAAGAAGTGTGTCGAGCTCTTTTTCGAGATCGCTGAGAATAAAGAGGACTATAACAAGTTCTATGAGGCATTCTCGAAGAATCTCAAGCTCGGTATCCATGAAGACTCCCAGAACAGGTCAAAGCTTGCTGAATTGCTAAGGTATCACTCAACAAAGAGTGGGGATGAGATGACCAGCCTCAAGGACTATGTGACAAGGATGAAGGAGGGCCAAAATGACATTTACTACATAACCGGCGAGAGCAAAAAGGCTGTGGAGAACTCCCCATTCCTCGAAAAGCTCAAGAAGAAGGGCTATGAGGTGCTTTTCATGGTTGATGCAATTGATGAATATTCTGTAGGCCAGCTGAAGGAATTTGAGGGTAAGAAGCTGGTTTCTGCAACAAAGGAGGGACTGAAGATTGATGAGAGTGAGGATGAGAAGAAGAAGAAGGAAACACTCAAGGAAAAATTTGAGGGGCTGTGCAAAGTCATAAAGGAAGTGTTGGGTGACAAGGTGGAGAAGGTCATTGTGTCTGACCGAGTTGTTGACTCCCCCTGCTGTTTGGTGACCGGCGAGTATGGATGGACTGCCAACATGGAGAGGATTATGAAGGCACAAGCTCTCAGGGACTCCAGCATGGCTGGTTACATGTCTAGCAAAAAGACTTTGGAGATCAACCCAGAAAACCCCATTATGGAGGAGTTGAGGAAGCGAGCGGATGCTGACAAAAATGACAAGTCAGTCAAGGATCTCACGCTCCTGCTGTTCGAGACTGCTCTTCTTACCTCTGGTTTCAGTCTCGACGACCCCAACACCTTTGGCAACAGGATCCACAGGATGCTGAAATTAGGCCTCAGCATTGACGAGGATGAAAAGGTGGAAGATACTGACATGCCTTCCCTCGAAGAAGCAGATGCGGAAGAGAGCAAGATGGAGGAAGTAGACTAATCCAGATCGAGGCTTGCTATCTTTCTAGTAATCCTTTTGCTTACTGCTCATTTAACATTGAACTGAGAGGTTATGTATTGTTGCTATCTTGTCTCTATGGGCTTTTGTGCAAACGCAGGCTTTGTGACTTTGCTCAATTTTTTTTTTTGACGTCTGGATGTGCTTATATTTTTTTTTATTATGTTTTGAGCAATTTATGGTATATTATTGCTGCAAAATCACGCTGTGACAGTCCTACTTTTGGTGCAAGCAAACTTGTAAGATTTGTTTTTGTGCCTAGCTCGGTGTGATGATAGCCTGCTCGAACCAAGTATTCACTTGGGTGCACATATATGCTTTCAGATTCGTTGACGTGGTCGTGGGGGGATTCTTCCAGCTCAAGTCGTCTTTTAATTCAATTCTATATTATGTTAATTCAATTTTATATTATGTTTATAGGGAGAAAAAGGATTAATTACATATTATCTTTTTAAGGTTTTTAGTTTTAAAAAAATTATATTAGAATCATTACCGTAATGAATGTAAAATATAAAAATAATAAAATTAATTAATAAAAAATAATTTTAATATTCTAAACATTATTTGCTACCATCCAAATATTGACGATCTATATCTATAACGATATTGTAAACAATCAATATAGAAAAGAAGGATAAGTATTATCCTTTCTTACATCATTATTGATGTTATCGTTGTGTTGACACATATATCAAGTGACCTCGTTATCGTTATCGATATGACATAAAGTATCGATATAATTTTAATTGAGATATTAAAATTATTATTATTTTTTATTTTTTATAATTATAAAGATCTTAATATAAATTTTTTAAATCTAAAGATTGAAATATGAAACTATAAAAGTAATCTATAAATAGTCGAGGATAATATATAATTAATAAAAAAAACATAATCTCCCGATCTAAAAACCTCAACCAGTGTTTGATTGTACCGAAGCTAAAAATGCCAAATCTCCTGCTTCGGATGTTCCTCACACGTTTCCTGACTCACCGGAAACGCTCCTCCGGCTCCACATGTGCCCTATCTCCGTCTTCCCTTCACTTAGCCGCGCCGCGCACTGCCTCCAGACGCAGTACCCTTTCATTCTCTGGTCAACTGTTTTGTCGCCGTTCCTGAAGACCAACTTGATATGTACCAAATGGAGGCACACAAGCGTATCTCAAAAGTGACTAGGAAACGCTTTACTTTTGGCCCACTAGCAGCATCCTCTGCTTCACCACAGGTTACATTCTTCGTTATCCTCCTCTGAATCCAATTCGCCAGACATTCCCATCCCTTCTTTACCTAGAAAAGTTCTCCTTCCCTTCATCGTATCCTACTGGCTTCCATGCTGAGCTTGGTCTAGGAAGGAGGCAATGGCGGGTCCGGAGTCTCATGAGTCACTGGAGTACACGCCTACGTGGGTGGTCGCCGCCGTCTGCACCATTATCGTCGTCATCTCTCTGCTCGTCGAACGCTTCCTACATTACCTTGGAAAGGTACGATCTTTGCTGACGCCTTTCCTACCTTTCTGACTACTAGCGTTGGAAGAAAAACTTCATCTTTTGTTCAAGCTGTGTACCTTTATTGTTAAAGTTTCCTTGTTCAAACCGATCTTGTGATTTGTTCATTCTATTAAAAAATGGAATTCTCTCTCCCAAGAAAAAAAAAAACAAATCTTTTTTCTTCTGGTGACAATTTTCTATACAACCACTAGAGATGGTCGGGTTTTGTAAGGTATCTGAAAAGGTTGGAATGCTTGTTCTTGAAATGATAAGATTCTTGATGTGATTGTAGGTCTTTCGTTCTTTGTCGTTCCCATCGTTGGCTTATGTTTTACTCTTTGGTATGTGTTCAATGTGTTAAATTCTTCAGTGAGGAATGGTGGTGATAGTGGCCCAACTGGTACCTCCCTATGCAACTGATCATAGCCGAAGAATAAGCATCTTAGTGGCTGTGCCTTTAGGTTTCTTGTTCATTCCACCTGCTCTTTTGATGTCCACTGCCTTATTTCTGTTCACTACTCATACGTCCATGAACTACCTAGGATTCTTGACTGCACAGTATGGTGCCAACTCAATCAATAACTTACGAGCACACACTGATATGATAAGCCGATGCCTCATTTCCGCACGAAATTATACCAAAACACCGATTAAAAAACATTTGATCTGAATATGATCTTTATCGCTCAACCACATGGTGTAAAAGGAAGCAGAGCAGCCAAAATTTGAAGAGGTTCTAAAGAAGCTTCTTCAAATTATTTTCATGTGCATGTAGTGGTGATTCATTGTCCTTTTCCCTTCTTGTGCTCCTTATGCCCACCAAAATTTACAGAGTTAAGCATAAAGTTTTCACCGGAGAAAATGGCATGCCCTTTTGGTGCATGACTTTGGAAAGACAGCCTTGTTCTCTGTAGGTCAAAGCCTCTGAAGTTTAGTGCACAGACCAGTTCCATTCTGCAAGCCTTTTGACAATCTTAAGTCTTGCCAACACTGTTTTTCCTTGCTGTGCAATGCTTTTTTTATGCTGCTGGAGTCATAAACCGATACTTCACTTGCTTTTCTTGTTTTCCTTTCAGTTTTTGAAGCATAATCAACAGGATGCACTTTATAAGGCTTTGCAGAAGCTAAAAGAAGGTTAGTTTGGTCCTTTTTTTGTTTATGCATACTATCAAAACTAGATTCCCAAATTCTGTGCAGATATCACCAGGTTTCTTGTATGAGAATATGGCAGTTTTGATATTAATATATACCCATGAGCTACAGCCTAGTATCTTGACAGTTTGCATAAACCTTCTGCTTATAAAGCCTGACATGCTCAAATACATATGCAATTTGAGATCCTTTAGGTGCATATTTTAGCAACATGTGCTAAAGGAAATCTTCCAAGCAGTTAAAACATTTTCTCCTAACATGATCCCGAGATTGGAAATTTAACACCACTTTCATCAGACCATTGTTGAAACATTTTAAGATCTCTGACCACCTATGAGTGACTTCCTCTCTCTCGCTGTACACAAAATGGATTAAAATTTGCCTTAAATTATAAGTAATCTGATTTTTATAATTGTAATTAAAATTTCAAAATGTGGTGAGGGTTTGCGATGTGAATTTTCAGATGACAGTTATATTGGAAATCTGGATCTACCATGATACATAGTAGTTCGGGATAACCTGCATTGGCTTGATCATGATCAGCGTATCCAAGGAAGAACAATGGTGGTAATCTGCACCAACTTCGAGAGAGAGGAAAAACCCCACATTAGACGAGAACAAAGCTGGAGGCTGGACACAATGTCATGTCTCAAGTCCCACATGAAGATGGTGGACAAGTAATTGATAAATTGGATCGGTCAGAGAGTGTAGGAACATACAAGTATCTCTCAGATTGGCTACTACCCTTCATATATAGATAATTAGGGAACAATCTTGGATCTAATCAAACTCACAAATAGATTAGGACTGAATAATTCTAATTACAAAGGGATGAATCCCTTTCCGGATTTCCCACTAAAGTATTTGAAACACATATTTTCATCAACATCTACACTCTCGGGAATGACTTCCCTGCTGTGAGTCCTCCCCCTTTTTTTGTGTGTGGCAAATACATGCATAATTAGTAGTACAACAGCCGAATGACTATTGTTGAGGTCAACAGTAGTGTTACCCCACAGTCAGATGATCTATTAGGGCAGCCAGGAGAGCATCGCTCAGCTGTCACGTTCTCATGCATTTAGCTATAGTCAGAAAATATTCGAAGTTGTTCAACTAAAGAACATTTGGCTTTGGCGACCTCAAGTTATCTGTCACTCTCTATAAATGCAGCACTCCTGGTCCAAGCTAATTGATTTGTCCATCAAGTTTTTGAGCTCGACTTCCGAATCAAATCACACCCATAGGGTTCCTTTCATGGTTGTTTATGTTGATGAAGGGGTATACTTGTTTCTCTTAGACTCATGAATCAACTTCCTTGGCATGTATCATTTTGAGGATGAACAAATGATCCATTTTGAGTTTGATTATTCTGACTCATCATAATATAACATCAATGATTCATATTGCACATTTTTATTTCTTCCGAGTAGGGTTTGGGAATTACTAAAAGCTTATATTTTATCTACTTTCTATATCATTATGATACTATATTGTAAGGATGTGACAGAATTTGGCAATATCTGTATGCAGAGTTGATGCTTCTTGGCTTTATATCCCTCCTGTTAACAGTCTTTCAACGAACCATCAGCCGCATTTGTGTCTCAAAAAGGCTTTTTCACCATATGCTTCCATGCAAGGAGAATAGCTTTCCCCCCAACCAGGAGGTCCATCGTGCAAAGGGCTTAAAACTTCAACTAACATGGAATAACCGGAAGCTTTTATCTGAGGATGAAGGCTCTGATATTTGCATGAGACAGGTGAGTTTTTTTTTATTATTTAAGGATAATATATATTAAGACTCGATCACGCAGATACAAAATTTGCATGAGATATCCGCCAATCTAGCGTAAGAAGAAAGAGCATGTGCCTCCCTATTACACCCTCGAAACACAAAACTACACTTGGATAAGTCCACTTTGTAAAAAATCAACAAACAGTCACTAGGGATATTTCGGAGATGCCAAGGCATATCCTCAAAATTGTTGAAAATCTTCACCACTCCTGAAGAGAGTCGGATCTGATCCAAATGTTGTTAAAACTTAAAACTACCATTTAACGCAAACGAAGGCCTTCCAAAATTGCTGCACATTCAGCATGAAGAACTAAGCTCATGCCTCTTGCTACAAATCTGGCAGCTATCAAGCTTCCTTGCTGATCTTTAATGATAAACCCACCTGCTACATTATTAGAACTCAAAAAAGAAGCATTGGTTTCTGCTATAAAGCTATAATTGGGCGGCCTACACGTAAGATCTTGTTGAATCCAGAACTCTATCTTCCACAAATCCATAACTCCCAAGCCAGATGAGTCACTAAGCTTAGATGTCGTCAAATTTGTTCTGAATCAATTTGAATTTGACCAGTGTCTCATTAGCTTATTAGAGCTTTTGGTCTTGTAGTTCTATTTTATGTATCACCATATTGGAAATCCATGTGATAATATAGTATTTGACTATTTATTGATGTTATTTAGGTTATCAAGCTTGTGATAAGTTGTGGTTCTAACAAAGTGGGTGATTGCATGTCAAGTACTCTTTTACCAGTTGATATAAGAATTTGTCTAGCTGAAGGTTGATATATGAAATAATTGATCATAGGTCTGCAAAACTCTCGAACTTAATACCGCTACCCATGCATTTTTGTACATGAACATTTAAACATTATGTACATTCATGAACAGCGCTTATTTGCATGCATATATGCATATGTATACGGTCCATAACAACCTCTCATTTACATAATTAATGATACAATGCATTTTTGTTAGACACAGAATCATTTTAATAAGCTGCATTTATAAAGATTTATATTTTAAAAGGGACAAAGGACCAATATTTGAGAAGTTAAATCTGTCACCACCGTCTCTGTGAGTACATATGTTATGTTCACTTCATATTTGGTTGCAATATAAGTCCTCATATAAGTTATGTTTTGTGGAAGCATCTTGATAAAGGAACATACATATATGTATGTATGTATGTATCTTTTTTTTTTAAACATATATATTTAACTTTTAACAAGATTCAAGTTTCTAACGTATTCCAGAAAGTCATTTTTGGCTAGTTGCATCAGTATTAATTAAGCAGTAACTTTCTCAGGGAAAAGTTCCACTTTTGTCGCTGGAAGCATTACATCAACTGCACATTTTTATATTTGTGCTAGCAGTTGTCCATGTTGTGTTCTGTGCAACTACCATGGTTCTAGGAGGAGCAAAGGTAGCCAACAAACATTTACAGAGGAAATAATATGTAGGTGATGGAAATAGATGACATTTGGACAGAAGGAACTAAAATAAATGATTGATCTTTTGCAGATTAGAAAATGGAAGCTCTGGGAAAATGATATCAGGAAAGGGCAGCCAAAGAAAGAGACATGTAACATATTAATTTACCAGTTTCTGGCCCTCTAACTTTGCGATCATCATTTAAGAGTGAGATCTTTTTGTTATTCTGTAATACAAGATTTCCTGCAGTATCTGCAGAGGAACTCTCTACACATGTTCAGCAACATAATGAGTTCGTGATGGAGCATACAGAGGGGCTTCAGCAAAGATCAGTTGTCTTAAGCTGGATAGTAAGTTGATTCATTGTTTTTTTTATATTGCACCAATTGGCTTGTAGGAATCATATGATTGTTATTTACTTGATGAAAGAGGGCAGATTATTCTCTTCTTTGACTGTGAGTGCAAGTATTCCAGCCTGTTACTTTAGTTTTCGTAGACATATTTATATTAACTAGCATTCAGATAAATTCTTAGATAACAAAAGCAGTCCAAACTCCAAACGTTGAATAGTGCAAAAGCATTACTGGCCAATTTCATAGTTGTCCTTACAAAAATACATGTACACTGTATCCCTATAGATCTTGAAAACTATTGAACTACCCAGTAGCCATGGCCATTTATGCATTGTTAGTATCTTTTCATTACTTGGTGAATTACCAATTCACCCATTGCTTTGTTCTTGAATGTAGATGTCATTCCTGAAACAGTTTTATGCTTCTGTTACCAAATCAGATTACATAGCATTGCGATCAGGGTTTATAATGGTAAGTTGCATAATTTTTAGGAAAATTATGGTGATAATTTTATCATTTAATTTGTCTATTTGTGTACCATCCCCCTTCTCTTTTTCTGATCATTTCTTGTTATTTCTTGATATCACTCTAGAAACACTGCAGTTCGAACCCAGACTTTGATTTTCACAAATATATGTTACGAACTCTTGAGGATGATTTCAAGATTGTTGTTGGTATAAGGTGGATAATATGCAAAGGGAAGTTCCTTTATTACTTTTAATCAGTTTTGAATCCAGCTTAAATGTGTGTACTATGTCAATGCAGATGGTACTTGTGGCTTTTTGTAGTCTTATTCCTCTTGCTGAATGTGAATGGTATGTTGAAAATAAGTTATATAGCTTTGATTGCATTACCACTGATAATCAAACAAAACCTTGTTGATGTTGCTAGTTTTGGATGAATTCAACCATTCAGATACTCGACTCTGGCTATTTTCTGAACTGGCATTCGGGTACAGAAATATACATTTTAGAATTTATTTTAGAGATAGCTAGAAATATAAATTATCAGCAAAACCTCCTGGTCTACTATTGACTGATAATCTATAGTACACATAATAAGTAGTTCATTCTAGGTTTTCTATTTAGACATCATACCAAGAATCCCAATTAATTGTCCCCACATTAATTCTAGTTCATCCTACATTCAGATATCATAATCCCAATTAATTGTCCCCACACTTCTTTTTTCTGTTTTGGCTGATAATAAATATGGGATATAGTTTCAAGATGAAAAAAAAAACTTACCAAGATTTTTTTTTCTCTTCGCTTGTGCATATGCTATATCTTAAATTAGATATCAAAATTCTACAGATAAAAATCCTTCTATATGGCTCCTAGACCTTTATTATTAAGATGACTCGTCTCACATGACCAAGTTCCAGTGATTTATAGTTCACATCATCTCCATAAGGGTCACAAAGAGAAGAAAAAGAACCGAACCTTGTCTAGGATTATTTTGACTTCAAATGTGAAAAATCAATGAAAAGGGAACTTTGATATGGTTGTAACCTTCACTCTTCTAATATTAACAAACCGTGTTTTTTTTTTCTCATCAGGAGAATTTTAATGAGGTACTAAAGTTTGTAAGTTCAGGTTAATCAATTTTAGAAGAACCAACTTTGTGCTCCTCTTTTCTGTGTTTTTTTTCCTTTTAAAGTAACTTGTGCTCATGTATCTTTACAATTTGAAAGTTACTGTTGCACGTAGTATTTGATTTGCGTTCTGAATTCAGTCTTGATGTTTAAAACCTATCCCAACTTTTGTTTAATTTATTCCTTGCAGGATGGCACACATTTTTTTGGCTGTCTTTCTTGCCTCTTGTTGTAAGTATATGCACCATTGTAACAGCTATATCTTTTTAGGAAATCCAGATTAAATATAATATCTCAGGGCAATTCAAGACCTTATTTGTGGATTGATGAAATTTCAGCTTCTGCTAGCTGTCGGTACAAAGTTGGAGCATATTATAACATGTCTGGCTCAAGAAGCTGCTGAGAAGCCCACAGATGGTCAAGTACCAAAAGTGAAGCCATCTGATCATCATTTCTGGTTTAATCAGCCAGGAATCCTCCTTTACTTGATACATTTCATCTTATTTCAGAATGCTTTTGAGCTTGCCTATTTCTTCTGGATAATTGTAAGCATATTCATGAAAAGAACCACATCTACCCTTGATCTGCATTAATTCTGATTGATATTGGTATCCGCAGAGCACCTATGGATTTTATTCCTGCATCATGGAAAAAGTTGGTTATATCATCCCCAGGCTTCTTGTTGGGTATTAAAAGGACAACCGCTAGTACTTTAATTAGAGATGTAGATGCTGATTCTTAAATTTCAGAAATGCTGTTAAAATCTTTAACTAATCTTCTTTGTTTTAACTGAGGAGTTTGATCTTGACAGTGTTATTATCCAAGTTCTCTGCAGCTACAGCACTCTCCCATTGTACACCATTGTCACTCAGGTTAGATCATGCAGCCATTTCTTTCCTAGCCTTTCAGAATGTTCACTGCATCTATATGCTAACTCAGCTTGTTTGACGCATCAAATTGTGAAGATGGGTGACATGTTCAAGCAAGCTATCTTCGATGAGCTATTACGATCAACTTTGCATGGTTGGGCTGAGACTATTAGAAAGAGAAAGGAACCAAAAACTTTTGGTGTTTCATCCTTTATGAAGGTGATCAATTCCAAAAGCAAAACGTCTGTGTCTGGCAGCAGAATTCAGATGCAGAATACAATTTTGGAAGCCGATGGAAGTTCTGGGGTTGCTGAAAGACCAGTTGCCTTGGAATGAATTGCCTTGGAATCAAAAGAACCAGCTGTCTACTATACCAATTTGCCTTGGACTTCTGGAGTTAGCAGTCACAATCCTGGATTGATTCAAGCATTTGTGTCTACGAAGTGTTTTCCAAGTTTTGTACAGTATGGTGTCTTTATATTGTATTTAACATGACCGTCGATAATGCTACACAATGGTTGATAACTTGATACCATGAAGTTGGTTTGAACATTTATTAAATAGGTTTCCTTTCCATTCATTGGCTTCATCGGGCACTGATTTGGGTTAGATCTGGTTCAGCAGAACACGAACAATGACTATGAAGGCAACCCTGCATCCTCTCTAGGTACAAATCTTATGTTTTTCTTTTGCTCATTGAAAGTCTATTCTCAATTATCTATCTCATTGTTTTTAACATCAGAATAAGAATTATGCTTTTATGTATGGAGACCACCCTTAATATTCACATCAGAAGAGGAGAATCCCACTTAATGGTGTCAGATGCTGCAAAACATGTACACTAGGAAGGATCCATTTGAGAAATAGACAATTGATACAGGAGCTCACTATCGAAATATATGAATCTGAAACTGTCAAGAGTATGATTGTAGATTTGACTGCACTTCCAATTTTCATTTTTGCAACATAATTTAAAAGCTTTTGAACATTAGTACAACACAAAATCAGAAGCTTATTTCCTAGATGTAAAGGTCATGATTTTAGTATTGGCTTGCAAGTAATTTGTTTTTTGTTTTCATTGAAACTTTTCAATATCTCCAATATTGGTGCTTAAACATGATTATACTAACATGGACTAGCCTTGAATGACTATGTTTTGACACAAGATAAATCGTGTTATAGTTTGTGGATTATATTGTAAATCGTGTTTATAGGGAGGGAAACAAAATCAGCAATTGGCCACCAATATTTGTAGTCATTACTGGAAGTTCCAATAGGTCCATACTGGTTTCAGCAACCTATAGAATTGTCACCCAAAATAATACAAGACTATAAACTGCTTCTTTAGAGGATGAGAGACCTGTCTGACTATAGCTTTTGCCAGTCTTATGATTATTCTTCATAATCAGGCGGTAGTTGATTGGTTTCGGATCCTTTTGCCCCTTTTTTTTAGTCCCTCTTGGCATCGTGATTACAATTGTTTCTTGGCATCACAAAGCACTAAGCATTACAGTTACTGAATGTCAACAACAATTATGCATCAAAAGGTTTTTGCTTTAGTTTATTCTTCTGGACATTGATTTTTTATGTAATGAAATTACAAGCTTTAGATATCTTTTAGCCATTGGAAATGAAACTTATCATAGTGCTGTGTTCATGCATAAGTCAAATTCTGGTGATACTTGATGAGTTGAGCTAACAAGTTTGTTCGACATGTCTATATCACTGAATCAATACCGATATTGTACTAGCTGTGAGTTTCCACATAAAACTGAGGTTAAGTTGAAAAACGAGTCATTGATCATGCTTCTCAGTCACTATAGAGTAGAAATTAAATTGAAATGATATCATGCACCTTTTTTTTGCCTTTTGCTTAGGACAAATTCAAGAAGCCTACCGCAAGATTTGCTTCCCGAGTGAGATGAATCTGCAAGGGGAGGAAAGGTGACAAATCAGTTGTCCGAATCATTGTGATGTGTTCTTTGGCTACAATAAATAGACTTTCCGATGGAGGAGACCAGACATTAACTGTAGAACCTAATTTAGCTGTTGAATTAGGGATAGGTAATCGAGGAGTTTCATCCAGAAACTAAGAATTCTACCTACTCTATCTTCTTTGCTATGTTTGGGTTTGATGAAGGCCGTCAAAATTACTGACTCGAGTGTTTGACAACCTCGTGAAGATGACTCTCCATCCGCATGGCTCAATCAATTTGGATCATGCATCACATATAAATTTGCTAATTAGTTGAGGATGGTAAGTCGATATTTCTCCAATAAATTGACTATGAGGATAACTCTTTTAAGTGTATTTAGTGTTTCTTTTACTGATCTCTACCTTTTTGTATTCAGGCTATAATAGATGTTTCACCAACCATTGTTTCTTTCGGTGGAGTCGAAAGCTACTCCTCCCGTAGGAGTGTAGTGTAGCACATGCTCTACTGGAATCTCTATATATAGGACCCCTGAACGCCAGAGCTCCTCCACATACGAAAGAAGAGATGGGATTGCTTCTCTTGGTCACTACTTCTTTTCTGCTTACAGTAGCATCATCTCTCAGAGATGTTCCTCGTAGCTCATGTTCTTCCAAGGACAAGGGTAATCTTCTTTATTTCATGCTTCAAGTTTCCGTATTATTTCATGAATTAAGTTTAAAGAGATCACATAACCTCTGATATCCCTATCATCTGCTTTGTCATGCTCGTTCCTTAATTACTTTTATATAGCATGATGATGAAGTTTCAGGGAAATCAAGACGAAGTATATGCAAGTTCAATTTGAACCGTAGCCGTAAAAATTTCCGGAATCATTGTTCTTCATCAATGTTTAGATGAAACTATTACGAAAAGGATCTTTTCCTCCCTGGATTTCTTAGAAAAATACCTCAAGAAGTGATAACAGCACTGCAGCGCGAGTTTAGAGTTCATATTCCTTTCTCAGCATAAGCTCTTGATTTAATTTTATGGAAGTGCAGTATTTTGGTTGAACAGACATGAAAAATGATTCACAGAAATCCTTCTTCTGCTGTTCATCCATCAATCTCCTTCTAATGATTCCTTCGCGCATCAGCAAAGGAATTAATGGTAGCTGGTAATCTGCTTGTTAGGCAGGCACGCATGATGTGACAAAGAGATGATGCATTCATTGATGTCTTCTCTAAAGGACGAAATAGTCCTGCGAATGCTTGGGGCCACTGCCAACCACCATTTATTCTATTAGTATGAGGTCGTCGGCAGGCGTTTCTACTACTCGTAGCATAATTTGCAGCCTAACAATCTATTGAAATATTCCTTCCTCATCTATTTATTATTGTTTACAGCACTGTCTTGTTCCTTAGATTTTTCTTGTTCTGGGTGGGGTATGATCCAACCTTGCAATTTGTTATGGAATGGCCCACTTGCCATAGATTATCCAATCTAACGATAAGAAGCAGAACTTTTGTGGTCCTTCGTTGTGATGCGGTTGCACTGTCAAGTGGAATATGGATTCACTTGACGGCAGTGTATGTCATTGCCAAATCTAAAAACCTGTTAACATGCCATTAACTGATGATTTAAATGATATTACAACTTTAGAACTAGTTTAAATAGGTATTTTATTTATTTATTTATTTTTATATTATTTTAATCCAAGTCGACTGATATTAACTACGGTTAGCTATGCTTAACCCATCTTAAATCATCTTATGCGATCTTGAAGCAAGCTCCTGTTGATGATGCTTTCGTCTTTGCAGTTGATGAGCTCCACCACCTCAACAGCTCCGGCATCCACTTCACGCTCCACCACCCCAGGAGCCCCTGCTCCCCTGCCCCTTTCCCCTCCCTCTCCTTCTCCGCCATCCTCTCCCACGACGATGCCCGTGTCCGCTCCCTCGCCGCCCGCCTCCGCAACACCACTCTCGCCCCGTCCCGGTCCTCCCTCATCCTCCACCCCGACGCCGCCTCCATCCCCCTCTCCTCCGGCACCTCTGTCGGCGTCGGCAACTACGTCACCCGCGTCGGCCTTGGCACCCCGGTCAAGTCCTACGTCATGGTCGTCGATACCGGCTCCTCCCTTTCCTGGCTCCAGTGCTCCCCTTGCCGCGTCTCGTGCCACTCCCAGGTCGGCGCCGTCTTCGACCCCGCCGCTTCGGCCACCTACCGCTCGGTCTCGTGCTCTGCGCCGGAGTGCCATGGCCTCCTGTCCGCCACTCTCAACCCTTCCTCATGCTCTGTCGCCAACGTCTGCATCTATCAGGCGAGCTACGGCGACACCTCTTTCTCCGTCGGCTACCTCGGCAAGGACAGCCTTTCCTTGGGCTCAACGCGAGCTCTCGCTGACTTCGTCTACGGCTGTGGCCAGGACAACGAGGGCCTCTTCGGCAAGTCGGCCGGCCTCATTGGCCTGGCACGCAACGAGCTCTCCCTGCTGTCTCAACTCGGGCCAAGGCTCGGTCATTCCTTCTCTTACTGCCTTCCGACCATGGTGTCCACCGGATACCTGTCGATTGGTTCATACAACCCAGCACAGTTTTCGTACACTCCCATGGTGTCGAGCTCGCTGGACGACACCCTTTACTTCGTCAGGCTGACGGGCGTCACGGTCGGCGGGAAGAACTTGCCGGTAAGAGCGTCGGCGTACACCGGGACACCGACGATCATCGACTCGGGGACAGTGATCACGCGGCTGCCGCCGGACGTGTACACCGCACTCAGCAACGCGATCGTGGCGGCTCTCAAGAGGTACAAGCGGGCGCCGGCGTACTCGATTTTGGACACGTGCTTCAGGGGGACCGTGAAGGCGTCGGCGGTGCCGGCGGTAAACATGGTGTTCGAAGGCGGCGCGACATTGAAGCTGGCGCCGAGGAACGTAATGATCAACGTGGATGATGCGACGACGACGTGCTTGGCGTTTGCGCCGTCAGGGAGGGTGGCGATCATCGGGAACAGGCAGCAGCAGACGTTTAACGTGGTTTATGACGTCGCCAAGTCGAGGATCGGATTTGCTGCAGGCGGGTGCAGCTGATACAGACGGCTGGTGGTGGTGGTGGTGGTGGTGGTGGTAAGAATAGTAGTACACGAGCATTAAGTGGATAATACATTGTGCTTTGGGCTGTTAATGAAAGCTTACACGTAATAATTGGCTTTAATGATTCCCTAATGGGAACTCTTTACACTTCATCGCAGTCTAATATTTGGCATACTGTCACCTCAAGTAATATAGTGCTGACGACACTATTTACATTAAACTGTAGGCTTTTGGCAAAAGGTAAATCTCGCTGCAGGTGACAACATATATATATATATTTCAATCCACAAGTATTGATTGCTGAGTAATATTTACAATGTTGTACAAAGATAAACTATCAAAACATTTCCCTGCTCTCTTGATGAGGCCTCGGATTGGAAGACTGTACTCCGACACAAGTAATTGGTAGAACCTTTCAAGGTCCACAAACACACAAGAGTTGATGGTGAAAGGATGAGTGAGGTCCGGAAAGAACTTTGGGCAGGTTTTTGGAAACCAGCTGACGTCTTATCATGATCTTTTTTCTTCAACTATTGCCTTGAAAAAGATGACTAGTGACACTCGAGGGAGACATGATGTTATATAAGCCAGGATTTATTCTCTTGTCAACAGTCTCAACCCATCATTAACAGTGGGGATCATTGAATAATTTGGTTGGTGGTGGTCTGCATCAGGTACATATTCTTCCGGAGTGTTATATTTTAAGCTGTCAATGGGCCCTATCCATGATCATGAGGTTGGGAATATGAAAGGTTAAAGGTCTCTTTAAGTACAAAATAGTGCTTAATAAAGGAGTTTAGGTGCCTCATATATGTTGTCGGCTCTTCAATTCTTTCTTGGAGGATCATATACACTTGTTTTCTAAGTTGCCAATATATGCTACTGTCATCTGTTGGATGGATTCAATGGAGATTTTTTTGTAAGGATCCTTTGAAGCTTGTTGGATTCTGTCAAAAGCCTATATGAATGACAAGGTGTAGGAGGAGTCGATAATGAAAACTGAAAGGAAACAGAGGCTGAGGAATGCTAAGATTATACCTTGATCTACCGTATAACCTACTCCGATGAGGTCTACTTTAGCATCTGATCTCTGACCAAACTCCCAAAACGCATTAGAGGAGTTCATGCCGACAAATGACAGCACTGCAATCAGACATTTTGTTCTCAGAGTCAACATTGTCAAGGAAGACAGTCATACGTTTCCTAGGACAGTGGCGAGGCCCTCTTTTTCAACACACTTTATCATGCCAAGACAATTGCGCCACAGACTCTGCTCGGCCAGGATGATGGTGCATGCAGCATGCATCGGTCGCAGGACACAGCCCATCTTGTCACGGCTGATGAAGAGGTACAGTGTCCAGAAATCATTCAGATTTGCAAATATTGTAGGTTGGATGATATCCCTGTCTGTGTTCTCTCGTGTGCCAGTGCCAAATTATCGGATCATTCGGTGGAGTGGCTTCAAAGCTCAAGAATCAGTTCAAAGATTAAAGATTTGGCACAAGCAACAAGTCCGTCCAGTGACAGAAAGAGCTGATATGTGCAGTTGTTTGATATGCTAACACAATCGTGTTGATTGGCCCAACAATCCAATATCCTGCTTGTTCTACACCGAGACTTATATATCTCCTTGTTTATGCTGATTTCTAGTAGCCTTTTCATCAGCTTAGAACATAAATGTGGTTTAGTTAAGCTGGAAGTAAACGCAAGCAAATTTCTTCGGATTAGCGTCCAATGAGATCATTGTTGTGATCTTCCTCTCTTACTTCAGACGCCACACTTGCATCTTGTCCTAAGAGATAGTCAAACTCTAATCATATTTTAGTGTAGTTCATGTTCCAAGGAACAATTGCTCCCAACCATCCGTCCTAGGAGAAGTATCTTTAATGGCGGATGCAAGTCCCACTCCATCGGTTCGATCTTATCAAGGGATCACATCCACCATATCAAGGAAACAGAAGGTGCCTTTCGCAAAGCTGCACCCCCCATCCTTGTCCCCATCTCCTCTTTGCACAAAAGGAGGGCCACCATGGATGTATCTGCTTTAAAATATGAAAAGTGGGGATGGGGAGTCCTGGAAATTTCGGCTCCGCATTAAAATAAAAAGGCATTATCACCATTTCCAACCCAAATATGATGATGAGGATCAGAACTCTCTCTCTCTCTCTCTATCTCTTTCTCTTTCTTTTTATTAATAGGTAAAAGTGATGTCACAATTTGATAAGATCGCTTCACGGGGAAAAAGCATCGAAACACCACACATGCACACCACCCATCCTCATCCTACTCCTTGAAGAGATAGCTCCACTGCAGAGTCATTTCAAGGCACCATTGCAACCAAGCCACTTCAATTTGATAGGCGATCATTCTATAAGAACTCCAGGGCTGATTTCTCTGTTGAGTCCTTGTAGCAGCTAAAAATGTCATGAACGAGACTTGTTTGAATTATTTGGAGGCTGGCTTGCACTATTTTACCTAAGCTTAAACTTTACCTGTTTCATAAGCCAACTGAGATTAGCAGCAAGGTGTTCTACAGAAAAGATCAACAGCCAGGCAGCCAGCAGTGGTAGTACTTGTCCTGTTCTGAGACCGACTGGCATCAACTTCCTCTGTTTTATTCATCTACAATCATGCTGAAATATATGACTAGGTTGAGGCTGATCTGTCTTACAGGACATCATAAGATCCTCTCCTAATAAATGATATGAACAGCATCTACATCTTTGTTAGATCTTACCGTGTACTGCTACAATTAAAATCAATAAATCCCTGTCTGCAGTGATTGTCTGTCAATTAATAGAACAATAAAACTCAAGGCCCATCAATTTTGACTTAGCGAGAAGCAAACAGTGTTCTTCTACTGCTGCCTCGGTGTAAAATACCCTATCGGTAGGGATCGTACAGGGAAAGTCTATGAAGAATGAGTTACTCATCTTTCTCGTTCTCCCAGCTATCTAAAGGAGCATTCAAGTGGGATGGCGTGATGTGGATACGTATTTTTTTTTTGTGTCTCCTTGACATGACAAATTCATGGACAACAGCAAGCCATCGACGTTGAAACTTCACAACCATGTACAGATGCACGAATTCTACTATCAATGATCACATCTTTAATCGCCTTCCTTCCTATTATTTTATTGCTTGTCAAAAATGGTGGTGCCTGTGGCTTGATGATCATGTGGGAGAACTCACACCTCAAAGATTCAATTTAGCTTAATTTCCCAGTATATATACCCTGAAGTTTTAGCAGTTCACCAAAATGATCATATTTCATCCTTATATAATGCAATAATTACCATTAAAGTGGGAAATTTTCAGTGATGTTATGTAATTATATTAGGAAATTAGAGAGCTACTACAAGCATTTACTCCGGTACACTGATTACCTACATTAACTGAGACAGCCAACAACTAAGCTACTCTGGAAAGCTGATTGATTCCCCATCACCTTCTTGCCAGAACATCAGGGTCCCACTCCTGTTCTTCTTGAGGAGGATCCACATAGATGAGGGCCCCAGTAAGAGGTCATGCGGCACTACCTTCCATCCACAATTGATGCATAGAAAATGTATATATTTATTGCTCGTGAAACAGAGAGTTCCTTAATTTTGTTTTCTACTCCAAACCAAACAGTTATAATTAAGGATAAAACACCATGGCGATACAGGATCTAGCAAATCTTAATGTGTTGGATTAGAGAGAGAGAGAGAGAGAGAGAGAGAGAGAGAGAGAGAGAGAGAGAGAGAGAGAGAGAGA